TGCCACTGTTGTGTTGTAAGTATCAAGGGGCACCTTGTTCTGTATCCTGAAAACAAATGGGTTTCAACATGGACAGTAGGCAGAGATTAATAAATGTGGCATGCACCAGCCTCTTATGGCCTCATTAAGTTTTATAACCTAACACAAAGATTTGGAAACATATCTTTTTGCAGCAGCATGAAATCACAATTGCTCTCTGTCCCATCAGAATAATTCACAGAAGTAAAAATAAACGCAGGGTATAGATTAGGAGAGAGTGTGTTAATTACATTTCTTGTGAGCCAATTCCAATAATTTGAAAGACCTTATCAGATTTTGCTTTTCTTGGCAATTGTACTGGGCCCTCTACATTCAACTAAACAATAATTAACACTTAACTTTGATAACCCACTGTTCCCAAACTGTAATTATATTTTTTGATTCATTTGAAAGTAGTGTTGTGTAAGTCCTGTGAAATTAAAAATAGAGGCCCATTGACGTTTCAGGAACAGTGTTACAGATATAGACATTGCTATTAATCTGGAGACAAAATGTGAGAAAATGTCCTCTCAAAGAAAGATAGTAACTCTAATGGATAAGGTAGGGAAAATCCTTAAAATGCAATAAATCCTTTTTTAGAAACCAAATTACATCTTATTTAAATTAAAATACTCTCTGGGCAGATCTTAGAATAGTAAATAACAGAATAAAAGTCAATGGGAATTCCCCACAAAAATAGGAATACAAAGGTGTTTGTTTGTGACACTCTCTGAAGCTACTAATATTTGGCTTCTTTGACTCATTTCTCTCCAAACTGCCATAGATACAAAAGTATATTTAGAAAATAAATCTAAAAATATATGCATTATATTAATAAATACGGTACATAATAAATAACTTTAAGTAGAGGATAATTCTTTGTTCCTTTGCAATATTCCATACATGATGACAGAGCTTCCCACTGGATCCTATTTATAAACTATTCAAAAAGCAAAACTTACATACTGTAGTTAGATTCCATATAACATGCCAACATTTACTTATTTTAACTAAATTATGAAGAACCTCTCATGTTAGGGATCTTATATATTAGCATGGTTAAGTATTATTGACGTGCTGTACATGGTTTATGACACTGTTGTACATTTTGTACCTTGAAACAAATCATAAATATGCCAGTATGTTCAAATCTCTATTTTTGTTACTATATTTTAAAGTGTTATGACCATCTTGTAAGCAAATATTGGTATAAAGCAAGTTACCACCACAGTTTCCAGAATCTCCAGCTTCCTGTTTTCAGCTCTAGAGAAGAACACACAGGAATTAACTGTCCAAAGATGTCAGATTAACAGCTTCACCATGTCTCAGAAGGGTATCGTTAAAAATCAGCAAAGAAAAATTATACAAAATGCATAGCATATTAAGTCACAGCTTTAGCGCTATTGTAATGTAGTTTTTATTCTTCACTGTTTCATTTTTTTCAATAGATTAGATTAAATCATAGTAGATAAAATATGAATGCCCAGTGGATTGTTGTGACCTGAGCGACAAAAGTCACTAATCACAGTGAATTGGGCTATAAAGAACAAAGCCCTGATTCATTGTCACTCGGTGACATTGTTATGCTATCTAAAAAACACTGATTTTTCACTCAGATTCTCTCCAAAAGCCTTAAGGAGACAAAGGTCCTAAGATCCTAAAATCCATCTGGATTTAAAGAAAAGTGCTTTTGTTAAACACAAAAGATTTTTATAAGTCAATGCGTAGAACTCCGGCACAGCTTACAGATTTGTCAAAAAAACAGGTCACATACCCTTTTCATTTCTCTGTGAGTAGTTTAGGTAAATTGCAATTTGCCGTCAAATACAAATTTATTTTTGTTCTCCATTTAAACATTCCAGGAGTAAATGTCAGTTATTAAGCTCTCTAGTTTTTAAAAAACAGAGTGTCTGGAGAGTTAGAATGTATTTTTGCAATGCAGTAAATGGTGCATTGCAACATTTCACAGTACATAAGGGAGAATGGAATGAAGTGTCTTGCTGTTGCTAGGAAACACTTGTGGCTTCCCTAAAATCTCCCTGAAATACTAGTTCAGCAAGGTAGAAGAATGCCATTTTGTTCTCGAAGTATGTATGAAATACCTGATTTGTTCTGAATTTAAGGACATATTGGTATAAGGAGCTTTTGATTTAATGAACACTTTTAAAAAAATTGCAAAAAAAAATAAATGTACAGTACTAGGTGAAAGCAAAGGTACATTTTCGATTCTTTACCATATGCTCTATCAATTCTATAGCGCTTAATCCCCGCAAAGATATTTGATTATCAAAGCTAAAGGCTCAAATCACTCTCACGCTCTGTGCTTCTGAACTTAAAACCACATTAAAATTCAGTTTCTGCAGCATTAACACTGTCACTGTGGATATCCTATTGAAGATCCTTGGTTTTTTAAACTAGAATGCTTGTCAGGCTCCCTGGTTTTAACTTTGAAAACTACCTGAAAATGAATGACATTTTTATTCAAAGCTGCATTCACTGTAATTATAAGATCTCTGTACCACATAATTTTGATTTTGCTGCTACTCTTGATAAAATTAAATTGGGGGATTTATACTGCAGACATCCTAGAACATTGTGCATTCCACGCTCGACCCTGTATTGTGAGACAGAAGAGAAACACATCAGCACATTTATCAGCACATTTAATTTTTCTGTCAAGATTTGTCTGAACAGTGCATAATGCATGAGAGTTCAGAGGTTCAGAGATTGTGCTGGCATGTTTCACATGCTGATGAAAGAGATGAGACCTGTTTAGGAAGAGAAATTCACAGTGATATATCAGCAGTGGACACAGACCCAGTCCTTACTGGTGCAAAGAGAAAGGGATCTGGTGCCCAGGCCTGGAGAGCCGAGGGGTTTTCTTTTTCAAGCCCTTGTTCAATTGAATTAATTTAATTATATTTTGAAATGAATATTCCCTTGTGAGGGAGTGAGAGACGGCTTTAAGAGAAAGCCACCTATTAGGGAGAGAAAATAAGTTTAATATAAGACACACCTGGCCTAACTGAAAAATTGGCATCCAGAGGGAGTGAGATTATACATGAGGGAGAAGAAGAGATAGAATAGGTTCTGTGTGGAACTGGACACTAATTAAGAGCTGTATTTGGGCTGGAAGAAAGGAGAGTGGGAAATCCAGATGATGATGAAGATGATGGTGGTGGCAGAAAATACTTGCCCAACAGACCCAAAGGTGAGGCAGAAAGGTCTGCCAGCAATTCTAGGTCATAGTAATTTGTTTGCAGGCTCAGGAGGGTTGGTGTGCAGTACCTAGGTGCAGCTCAACCAGGGTTGAAACGAGGTATTGGCACCTGTATGAGTAATGCATTGCAAGGTAGCAATCCATCTTCTCCCCATAACTAAGAAGGGGGTGTAAATAGAACAGCTAAAGTTTTTAATACTGCAGATATTATTGGCTGACAGGTGTGCGATCTCAGAAAGTGTGAGAGTGAACAACAAACTGGCTGCTGTTTTGTCATAGGTACAAGTGGTGATTAATGAAGACAGAGAGACATCCCTGGCCAAACAGGATCAGCTGGTGTAGAGAGATATGACAAGAGTGAATGATTGTTTGTGAACAGCATACCAAGGGAAAAAAGAAGTAAAAAGTTGACAGAGCAGAGCAGATTGAGTAGCTGATTAGTGATCACGGAACTGAAGAACTATGATTGCATGACATGGAGTGGCTTAGATAGAATACTCTAATGCCTAATTAGATGAGTAATCAATTAGTGGTATTGAGATAAAGATCTGAGTGAGTGAAACTCCCAGGAAAAGAATGATGAAACACAAGATCATGTTGACATCTGAGAGGGTTAAGGGGAACAGGTTTAGGGTGCCAATCTGTTCACATATTCTTCCTCATGTGCATGTTGGTTATCTCACAATCCTTGCAAAAACAAGCAGTACAGGTGAAACTGTCTACATTAAATTGCTTCTCCCTATCAGGTCACCATGAAGAAGAAATGTGGGTGCCAAACCTTATCACTCTGCCATGCAGGAAACTCTGACACCTTGATGCTGTAAGCTTAGACTCAAGGGCAAGTTTTCTAAATCTTCTTAAACATGCAGGACTGAAGTTCTCCAGTACTAGGGATACCACATTCAAAACAAAATAAAACATTATTCACAAGCAGCCTATCACTTTACTTAAAATGAATAATTGTACATCATACATTTTAAGTAACTTTTTTGTCTGTTTTTAATATTTTTTCTCTAATTAACACAACAGACATGTACTGACCCTTACAGTATGTAGTCTTCCAACATTACCAGATAAATAAAAATTTGCATCTTGTGTACAACATTTACATAGTGTTTTGTGTGTCTGTTTTGTGGGTGTTCTTGCGTGTTGTTGGTACAGATAACAGCAGTGCATTTTCAAGTGCTTTCGATGATTCATCGGTGATCTGTGGACAAGAAAAGAAAACAAGTTATTTTCCCCCACAGTGTATCATCATATAAAGCCTGTAATTAATAAAAATGTTTCCAAATTATAATATGGACAAGTGCACAAAATGTGCAAGGCTGAAAAGATGCCAGTGTTTTGAATTGTTTAGTCCAATTGTTGGACACATCTGTACAAGATATGAAAAGATACCAGGAACAGTCCCTGTTCTATACAGTGTGTCTCGTACGGTATAGTGTTATGTTGTTTGTGATGGAATATTACCGTAAACAAGATTCATAAAAGAAAAGTTTAAAGCCATACTAGATCCTGTACTAAGTAAATATAAACAAATTACTTTGGAAATTCACAAATACTGGAGCACAGTAAAAACTAAAAAATGCACTGTGCCCAGTTTCAGTGTGAGAAACACAAGGCACTTTCCTTTGCTATTGAATTATGTCTGAAACACACTGTTTGTCCCCATTATTTAAAAATAACTCACAGTTGAAGGAACAGCCTACACTGTGAGACATGGGCCCAAGTATATGTATTTTATTGCCAATCTAAATGTTGACACACAGAAGAATATCCTACTGCCAGCACTTCATTTGTGACTTGAGCAGTGATTAAACAGCAGTCTCTTTGTGCCACCCTGAGAGTGCAGCTAGAATCGAATGGATTGGTAAGAGATACCGCTACATTGGTCTTTTTCTTCTTTTGATCTGTAATTTGAACTTGATCATATTTATTGCTTGAGATATATAATTATAAAGGCTTTCCCTGCACCGTGTTTGTTCTGGTTTGCATGTTTTTAGATCTTTAATGCTAAATGTAATGATCTAGAGAAGGCCACGTACAGTACGTGCCCATTCATTGCAAACTATTTTTAAGAATGCCCGTTTTGTAAGGAAGTGTTATGTAAAACCATGTAAAGTGTTAAAGTGTAGGGAAGTGTGAAGAAGGGAAAAAGCAAATGTTAAAGGAGGTCATTGAAGAAAACTTGTTTTGTTCTGTTTTTCTGTTTAAGCATCCAATAAAGAAAAGGGGAGAATGTCAGTAAAGACACCTTTTATCTCAGTGGTTCTTGCATGTTGTAAGTAAAGTTTCAAAGTATGTAAAAAAAAAACACTATATGAACTGTTACTTAACTTTATTTTTATGCACACCGATAATTTCAGGGGTCTGGGATAATAAAACAACAAAAAACATATTACCAAAGAAACAACTCTGATAAACCATGTATTTACATCACAGTTAATCATTACAATATTAAAGCAAATGTGTAAATTATGTGCTTAACATGATTCACAGGTGGCGAAGACTATTTATTATTTTTGTTTCGGCATAGACCACTTGCATATCGCTAAACTTTGTCACCATTTCACAAGGTTCAGAAAATAATATTGCTGAGTTCCAGAGAGAATGCTGTACCACCATATAGACCTCACTGTCATTATTGAAGTCCATCTTTGAGCTGAACAGATAAAAATCGACTGGTACAGGATCTGAACTGTAATATCAAGGTCCTCAATGTTCTAAACTCTAGATCTTACTTTGTGTACAGCAGGTCCATGTTGCCGTGTTGCTTTTGTCTTTTGTCTCTAAGAGTTGCCTTGCTTTTTAGGGCAGCAGCCATATGGGTGATAGAAGTTTGCTATGGTCATGGCTTCAGTGATGACATGACTTCAGAACTAACCAGCATCATGTTGTTATGAGTGCATAAATAACCTTGTGAAGTTGTGGCATAAGAGAGGAGGTGGGCAAAGGGACTGTGCTGAAATGTTTTACCCAGCAGTTAAACATATTTGATTAATAATTTACAAATTCACTAAACAAACTCTTCTGTGTGTGTATATACTGTACAATGAGACAAACAGAAGATGTGGACTGAATCGTTGAGCTCTGAGAGAGAGATCACTGTGATACAGTATGTGAAACATTTGAGGCTTAATTAAATTTTGCCAGGAACATTCAAATGAATTGTCACTGGCCCAGAAAACATACACTTGTATATTCTTTATTTCAAACATTTGTTTTGCATTGTCATAATAATGCAACTGTAAAGTATGTGTTTACGTATGGTAACAGCCTATCCCAGGCTGGTACAGGAAAACAGCAGTTTTTCTCAATTTTCTTTAACTTTTATAACTGCAATAAGAAGCTTCTGGAGCAATATTTGCCTAAATAAAACCTCTGACTCTGCCATAACAGAACAATATTCCTATATTATATCTGTCAGGAGGGAGACAGAAGATCAGGATGCTTACTCCATTTTATTTCACTTATATTTCCTGATAAGCAGAGTGAGGTCACCTGCTGACATCAATTGGTTAGAATGTTTTTCTTTGCTAAAAGCTGCCACAAAAGTGTGCTTGGCATCCAGGGATACTGTCATTACAATTGTCCTCTAGTGAGAACTAACTCATTTCAATTAAGGTTACAGGCATTAATTTACAGGGGCTGCTAAGTGCAATGGCAATTAATTACCTGCCAGTGAAGGTGACTATAACTGTAACCACCACTCTGGCTGCTGTTGCAAAATATAATTACCCATAGAGAGGGAAATGGACCACAAAACTGGTATTCAATGTCATGATTTTGATTTTGAACTCCATTAATATTTTGAAATCCAAACCATGCATAGTTACAGATATTATTATTACTAGTAGTATAATTGATATCCAGATGCATTTACTGTATAAGTATTAATACTACTGTACAGTACATTTGCCCTTACTCATTATTCTTCTTTGTTATAGGGCTCTTGTTATGTCATGGTCTTACCACTCCAAAGAGAGAGGCGAAGAAAGTGAAAAGCGATGTTGCCTGTAGCAGAATTGGAGGCATTTGTCAACGTTCCTCATACGTCTGCGCAGGGAGATACCTGAAGAGCAAGTGTGCAGGCCCTGCAACCCGTCAGTGCTGTCTGGAAGGTACAGTACCAGGCAATCTGACCCACCGGGAGCACTGTCAATGGAAATCGATAGAGCAGCTACACAGCAGCCAAAGAGACAGAAAGCAGTGTGGATGTTAGTAACCTGCCAAGAGAATCTCTTTTTAGCAGTTACAACATTCTAAGTCAATTATACAGAGCTATGCACACAACATATTATTCAAGCTTAGATCCCTATAATACCTGTCAATAAGAATCTGTTTGTGTGTTATTGATGATGCTATAACGGGTTAAAAAAAGGACTACATCCCCATGACCCTTTGGGTTGGTTTAGGCTTTGATCAGGATTATGTTTTTGTTATCAACATCCACTTGGACAACATTTGTTTTAAAGAATCGTCACCTCATATAATGTGGTGAGTCACAGTCTTATAAACCCGCTGGAGAGGAAAGAGGGATTAAAATAGCTTTAGATCTTTTTTTCTTTATAGTTATTAATAATTTCTACAGCACTTACTATACCTCTGCCATTGTTGAAAACATTGCTCTCTATTGCTTTCTGAGTCAATACAGCTGTGGCTTTCTTTGTTTTTACATTTCACTCTTCCTTCTCCATCCCCTCTTCCAGATTCTGGGGCATGGGATGTTCTATGTTCTGGTCACCATTCGAACAGAGTAAGGGGCTGTGACAAATTTGGCTGTGGACATTTCAATTCTAAAAGGTATCCTACTGGCAGTTATTTATTTCTACTGTGTGTTTCTCTAGAACCAAATCCAGTAGACACAACCTTAAACAGATTTTATACAGAAGGTATTTATGAGTAAAACCATTCTGAGAGGAAAAACAGCAAAGCCACAAGTGCAAGGATATTATTTAACAAGTGCTATTTTTAGAATCCTCTGTCACCTCAGGCTTTCTCTAAATAGGTTACTGAAACCTGTTTTTACAGCAAAACCTACGCTCATTTAAAACAAGACAGGATATCAATCGGCAAAAATATACCACCCTTTCAAATGTTCTTGTTTTAAAATGGAGAACGAAATGCTATCTTTGTTATACACATCCTGGCCTAAAAAAAGTCCATGAGCCCCCAGTCAAGTGAATCATCTCTCAGTGGCAAGCAATATGTGGTTGACTTTATAAGCATGAAGCACACTTCCATCACCTTCCCTGGCCAGAACAATCCCTACTGTACATCTCAATCCTATTTTAATCAGCCGGAACCAGTGGAACACGCCATTCAATCCCACACCCCATTTACTTCATCACAGCCCCAAATGAGACGCGGCTCAAGATATTTCAAAACCTATACAGTGACATCCTGTCCAAGGCATTCCTGCTGCTTACGGAGGCCCAGCACAATGGGAGCTAATGTATTGACCAGTGATCAAATATTGTTCCTAATTGTATTTTAATTGTTATAGATCGTTAAAAACAACATAAAATAAGAGGCTTTCATAGGAGAATATACAGTACTGTCACATTGTGCTCATTTAGTTGCTACTGCTGTAGCTTATTGATCCAGAGTTAACAAAAGGTTAACAGTTCCCTAACTTCAGAACTATGAGATGCATGTAAATTTAAATGAATACATTCATTTGTTACTGTACTTCAGAATAAATATACTTAAACCTCCATCTATGTAATGGCACTGTTATGCAAAAAAGAAAAAAACTACAAGGCTTTGTCAATTGCATCCTTTGCTGTTTGATATAACTGCTGAAATGTTTCCTTCTAAGATTTCACACTGATTAATTAGTGTTTTTAATGCTACCAGCTAATTTAGCTACTCTAAGAGTTTAATGTTTAGCTGGACAAGTTACAAAAGGCCTTTTTCCAAACTGATAATTTGTAGTTTTTCCAGGTCTGATAAAAGGTTTCTGAGACAATGACAAAAAAATCAACTAAATCTGAAATATTTTATGAGGCAGATGAGAATAGTAAGTCAGAAATGAAATTCCCTCATTAATCTATAAGATGAGAGATACATATATATATATATCACTTTATTGGCCATACACATTTTCTTATATTAGGAATTTGTCTTTTTTCACATATCTCAACTTGCTCTCCATGAGATACACAGACAAGGCAAAAAGCTTGGGGTCAGATCACAGGTCAGCCATTTATACAGCACCCCTGGAGCAGTTGGAGTTAAGCGTCTTGCTCAGGGCCCCAACAGATTAGGATTCCTCTGCCAGCTGCAGGATCTGAACCAGCAACCTTCCAGCCACAGGCACAGATCCTTAGCCACATAGCCACTGCACCACCCCAGCTCTGTTCCAATCAATCCTTTGGGCTAATTCACAGAGATACAAAACATTTTTTTTCCTTAAGAAATGAAATGGGTACTAAATCCATAAAATGCCAAATTGTAAACTTTTGTGAGTGTTTTCTTCTTTTGCCTTTGTTGAATTCAATTCTATATCATTGTACCCTAGGGGCAGTCACGTCCACAAGGCTGTGGACATAGTGTGTGATGATTACACAGTTGTCCACGCTCCCTTCACAGGCATGTTGAGGGGTCGAGTTCAGCCACATGGGGATTCCAGCACTAATGATGATGGTGTTGAACTCTCAAACTCAGGTGAGATATGATGCCTCAATGTCTGCTTTCATAAGCACCTTATTCCCAAAGGCAAAACTAACCCATCTCAGTCCTGAGGTGTCTGCCCACCTTTCTGCAAATATAATGACGGTGGAAAATATAATGACTAAATGGAACTGATTTAATCTCACGGCATATTCAATTTAAACAAAGTAACAAGACATCAAATTATTTTTTTCTACATCTTCAGCAGCTAAAAAAATCTTACTGTGCTTGAAACAAATGATGAGCTACATATGTGCAATAATATTACCATTGTCTGATTATGCTAAGCAAACATTAGTGTAATGTAAACTAGCCAATGTGCAAGAAGATGTTTTGATGAACTCCACATTCTCTGTAAAACTTGACCCAGGAAGCTTGAGAAATGTTAATAATCTCACAAAAGGCTAGGAGTGCACAAACATCTGACAGCAACGATGATAATTAAGATTACATCTGCAATCTCTCATTAGCTTCCATTTCACATATACACACAAACTGGCTGGTTTGCTTTGAAAAACAACCATGCTGCCATTAGCCGTAATTAAGTGAGGAGAGAAAACAGTTCATTAAAGGAAAGATACACTTTAGGTCACACAGCAGCTTATGCTGTTTTTGTAAAGCAAGCTATTTGGAAAGAAAACAAAGAGTGAAGTTCATATCAGAGAAGACTATTAATAAATGTTTATTGAAATCACAGTAAAATATGGCTTTTGTGGCTTTGGCTAGGACAAGCTATTAATTAGTAAAGCCTTTTTAGTGATACTGAGAAATAAACTGAGATGGATTCCAATGTCAGATTCCAGATACTGATGATTGTAGGTAAGTCTATCCAGAAGGTTGCTTAATAAGATTTCCTTATAACACATATAAAGTCAAGAGTTGGCCTGCTCTACAGCAAGCTTTTGGGTTTCTTTTGCTCAGACTTGAACAGATTCTTCATAACAAAACAGGTATAATTTCTTAACACAGATTTTCAGATATATTGCCTTTCAACTGTCTCAAAAAAACCAATAGTTTTGTGTCAAACGTGTTTGTAGGCAAGTCACATAATTTAGCTAAAAGGCAGTATTCTTACAGACATTTTGCAGGGTCATTTTTTCTTTTAATTGTAAAAGAAAGCAGGCGTATGTAGTAGTATATACTATTATATATACTATTATATAATAATATTATAACTAAAAAGGACTGCTTAGAAAATATCTACATATCCATTGATAAATCCATCTGCCTATTCACCTTTTTATCTTTTAAAGTGCACTGCGTGAAGATTTTCAATATCCGTCCCAGCCGATACAAAGGATTCGTCTCCAAAGGCGAGAGCCTGGGCTACGTGCTCCCTATGCAGGAAAAGTATTCTGGGATCACCTCTCACCTTCATCTCCAGATGTGTGACAAATCTGATCCTACACCCTACATTTAAAGTGTATCGTGCTTTGAAATAGAAAGTGGGCACGAGTCTACTTTGTTGCTAAATATTACTTGACCTTCAAGGCAATTCCATTAAACTTTAGTGTCCCGGGAGTATTTTCCAATATAAAAACAATGAATAATAAATCATATTATTGTAACCGGATAATTTCTCCAAGGGAGTATATATGTTGTAGAAGTTCTATTATAACCAGTAGAGGGCAGAACGCATTTTATTAATAGTCGTTCAGGTGGGTAGCTGCGTCAGCATGCGTAGGCTGCAAAGAACAAGTATAGTCTGTGCATGGCACTGTCTATAACGTAGCACTAGATGGCGACCGTCACCAACAAAAACACAAATTATCATTTACAACGCTCTTAAAATGCAGTAGGTTGTTTAAGACAAAATTGGCTCAGATCAGTCCTGTGTTTATCTCGGAATATATGCTGTTAATTTTGATTTATAGATACATTTGAGGAAATTCAACAATATTTACAGTTATGCTGACAAAGTAGAACTTTTATCCTAATTTTTAATAGTCTTTTAATTAATCTTTGCTGAGGGCTAATTTTTTCAGGGCCAAGAACAGTTGTATTGTTCCAGCCAAACTTGGGGGGAACAAATATCTGATTCCTTTTGGCCTGGCTTACAATCATCTTTGAACTCTTTTATTACAATCACATGAGCTTTGTACCTATCTGATACAAACTCTTGCTTATCATCAATAAGTGTTGCTTTGTCCATTTTCACTGTTGTGCTGCATTTTTCAGGTTATGTGATAGCCAGACTGCTGATCTTTCACATAAATATTTTTCATTCACTATGCATACACTACAAGTTATATGCTTTACAGCTACTTTCATATAAATCAAAGATTATATAAGCCAATTGCCAGGGCCCTGGCCAAAGTGTCTGCAGGCTTTCATTAAATCTTGAAAGTAAATGAACTAAAACATCCAGGGACTGGTACACTTAACAGATTCTCTCAGTTCTTCAAGTACTGCTTTAAAGACACCTAGAAAACCTGCAGACTCACTTGCTCTTCAGGACCAGGACTGGATGCCCTGCATTCATATTTTAATTACTTTACAAAGTGAACATGCTTTCATGTTGTTTGTGGCTTTTTTAAATCATACTAGGTACTGCAAATGTTTTAAATGAATTAAATTTAGGATCGATTTCAACCTTGTGTAGAGATCATTTTCCTTTTTCCCATTTATTATATACTCTTAGACTCTTGTTCATTACAAATAAAATATAACAAATATATTTAGTTTAATATGCAGTTACTATTGTTTGACTATAAACTATTTTCCAGTATTAGTTTCATATAATTGCAGGATGAACAGAAGCAGTGTATGCCATTTTTCACATATATTAGAGAGTTTTCAGACGTTTCAGAAAAGAAACATTATTTTTCAGCTGTGCAGCCTACTTCTGGTTTGACTGAATGAGTTGAGATGGCTTACAGGCTTGTGATACCTAGTGAATAACTAGGAATACCTGGGAAAATAAAGCTTAGTCTATACTAGGGGGCACCACAAGTGGTGGGCAGGTTGTTCCCTTGCCAGGCTCAATGGGGTTGAAGTGTGCTGCTGAGGAACAAAAATGGCCAGCTGAGCCAGGTGACAACACCTGTCGAGAATTGAACACCTCCCAGGGCCGTGACGACTCGCTCAGGCTGCTTGTCTCAACTTCCCGCCTACACTTAACAGGTTATTAGTTCATTAGTCCAGGATATTTAATCCTTGATCATCTACTGTTCCGGTACTGTCATAGAGCTACCTTCTGGCAAGAGTAGTGTTCAAAGCACAACAAACCTGCTTTCAAGAAATACAGTCTATCAGCACCCCATCTACACAGCCGAGCAATGGACCAGTGGCAAAATACTGTACCTCTAACTGACCAGCCATGGTTATTGATGCCCCTGCCCTGCTGTGCCCCAATTGCTGTGCTCCCCTCCAGCCTCAGATTGCTCTCACCTGCCATCACCCGTCTTGTTCGGCTATCTTTGCCTGCCTTTGAAACTCCGATCTGGTTCGGCTATATCCATCAGCTCACTGGGATCAAGCATTTGGATTCCTCAGCCTTTCGGCAAGACGCAGTTCTCTTCATCCACTCGCCAAGCAGTAACACCCTGACTATACTATCAGCCCACAGGTGTGCGGTCTCAGGGGGGGGGGAGTGAACGACAGACTAGCTGCTGCTGTGTCAGGGGTGCAAGTGGTCAAAAATAAATAAAACACAAGGAGAAACTACATATACACATGAAGTACAAACTGAACCAGAAAAAACATTGAATGTTTTGATCAAGTGTTAATTTATTTCTTTGTAACAAAATTCAAGACATTTCTACAATCCGTGTCAACAAAAGAATGTTTCAAAACAACCTCAGGATCGCAACACCATTGTTTACATGTATTTAGATAATGTATACATATAGTTTCAAACTGAAACACAATTAAGCTACTTTAAGGCAGAATTTAAACATGTCCACCAAAAAAAAAAACACCTAGATTTAGTTTATTTAATCCTGTAAATTTAAATAAGAAGCTCAAGATTGTCTTATCAATCGTGGACAACACATTTTTAAAGAGGAACCATAACCACATATTTAGAGTGTCTAATGCGTATGAGTACAGCTGTGAAAAAATCAAACAAACACAATAGCAATCCAGATTGAATTAAATTCTGAGGCACCCATTGGCATTTGGGACCAAAGCTGGATTCAATCAGGTAACTGCTTTTATAAAGTGTATTCTTTCTGTTAGATACTGATTAAATGTGTGTGTGTGGATAATGCAAGGCTCATCTTTAAGCACATAGTTTTACTTGTGCCACATACCTGTATATTGCCCTTTATGAGGAACAAGTAAAAGGTTTATTCCATGCTGAAAAGAGAAAAAAAAGAAACAACATTTCAGCCGAAATGTTGCGTTTCCTTTCTTTTCTTTTCAGCATGGAATAAACCTTTTACTTGTTGCTTTGCAGACTACGCATGCTGACGCAGCTACCTCCTTGTACTATTGTCCTTTATTGCCCTGAACATTTTCCGGAGGAAGTCTCTCTCTTTTTTTTATGGCCCACAAAATATGAAAGGATTTGCCTTAAACAGAAAAAAAATGTAAACATGGTTTTCACAATCAAATATTCATCTATTTTAAAGTGCTTTGTTAATTGTGATTTTTTATTGGTTGTATAAGATTTGTACATACAACATCAGCACAAGATAAATATTTAAATCTGATAAGTATATTAAACTAATTTGCACAAAAGGCAAAAGCTAAGTTTGGTAAAACACTAAGTTGATTGTTTACCTAAATATTAGACATTCGGTATTTAGTACTCCCCTTTTAAACAGAGAAATATTAAAAAATCCCCTTCGAAACTGACAATTCAGGTGAGGGAATATATTTCCTTGCCTTAAATATCTCAGCTGCAACATCAAATTATGAGTAAAAGTACTAATACAGACCTATGCAAACTAGCAATTTATTAATAACAAATAATAGTACTAGGATCTGTTCAGTAACTCAAAGTGTCTTACAAAGCCATGTATTTTAACTTGGAATTTCTAGGACGAACAGAGAACAGAACGGAATGGCCATTTCTCATTCTGTATTTAATCCCCAATCAAAATTAAGCACTCAAAATGATTAAGGTTATGTTCTGTGGCCCTTATCACTGAAAGTGGAACAGCAAATATGTGCACCTTAAGGAATGAATAAATGAACCTCATGATGAAAGATGTATGCCTCTGGCCAACAGAGAGTCACCAACAGGTGAGAAGTAGAATTTGTAATCGGTAAAAGATTAGATTTAGTCTGATTTTTGTTCTTCACCTTTTACCTCTAAATAACCAACATTTTAAGCTTAAAGACAGAACCTTGTGTGCAGTTTGAATACTGTGATTTGAAGTGAGCCTAGCAAAAACAGAAACAATACAAAAATCCCAAAACTCAAAAATATCTCCTTCAGCCATTTTACTTGACTGTATTTTCATTGTCTGCCAAACATTTCTGGTGAAATAATTCTTCTTCTTCTATTTGTATTTTTAAAAGAACAGATTGTAATTTTATTCCTGTTTCACTTTGGATCACTTTTCATCATCAATGCATCATACAAAATACTGCTAATTGGATGGGATGCTTTCATATTAATCATTGGGAGAGTCGATGAGCTATTATGCACGTTTCACCAGAAGAATGAAATAAATCATATTTAAATGTTTAAAATTTTCCATTAATTAACTTTTTTACATTACCTTAATTTAGTATGTTGATTTCTATATACACTTCAATAATTAGAATTTTAACTTCTGACTACAAACCAATGTCCTGCACTTTTTCTGTAATTTGAAACTGCTTCAGTCCCTATGTTCCAGCTGGATATTATCCATCGATCATCACTATAGTACCTAATAACAATTACAAAACAATTTTGATTCAAAGAAGCAGTTCTGCATACAATACAGATATGCTTAATGAAGACAAATTATTTAGTGTGCTTAAGCGTTACAAAACAACTAACATGACGGTTGTGAAAGTATTTTTGTTCAAATTTGTTCCACTGAGAAAAACTCTGTGTGGAAAAAAGAGCAGTTCCAAGCCCTTTTTTCCCCATGTCTGTCTTATTGCTTGTTGGATTTAACCCTATAACTTCTACAATCACCTTTACAAAACTGGTAACAAAGAACTTTGAACAGCATCCCACAAGCTATCACCTTGGTTAAGGATGTTCAAACAAAAATATGACAACAGAACTTCTTATGAAGTACACCTTTTTCCTGTGTAAATCTAAAAACACTGGAAAAAATTAAAAGATAGAATCACTACACACAATTAATTTGTCAAATTCAGCCCTAAATCCTAGAAATAAGCCTTAGCAAATACAAATAAATCACATGGACATTGCTGCAGAAAATAATAATATCAACCTTTACCACATCTCAATTGCCACTTAGGTGACAAGGAAATTAAAAAGTCTTAACTACCGATGCAAATGGAGCTTTCATAAAGTCTGCTGTTCTTATTTCAAATGGAAATAAAAACTACTATGTATTTACAGTTTTAAGAGATCAAGCGCTAAATCGCGCAGCAAATATGGAGAAGCCAATGACTTATATCTATTAACAGTATGTCATCTCCTCTGACTCCTTACACAGGACAAACAGAGCTCAAGTCATACTTTAAAAAGCCCGATATAATCAGCTTCAAAGGAATCAAGACATTTGAAATGTTTTTTTCTCTTAAAATGCATAAATGCATTCACAAACTGTCCATGGACGCAACCTACTAAAATAAAACGTCTCAAAAGACAACGCAACAGCTATTAATAGCCATGTGTAAATTGTACAAAAAAATCCTTAGCTCCATAAAAAAGGATACTGATTAATGCTCTATGGCAATATGTAAATTAAAACGAATTCTGTTAAATGTGGTTATCAGTTTTGTTTTGTTCATTATGTAGTTACTTCATTCTCGGACCTCCTCATTTAATTCTACATTGCCTCCTATTTGAAGATTATTTACAACTTGGTAATGACCATCTCTTTCACAAGACATCATCTTTGGATTCTAAAGGATCAGGGCGTTAACTGCTGTTCCTAAAGAAAGGGTGGATTCAGCTCTTACAGCACGTAGTGGAAGGAAAAAAGCAAAAGAAGCAAAATAAACCTCCCTCACTGCCTCATAATTTCTCGGCTCAGTCAGGTTCCATTTTCTGTGCTTTCAAGAATCGCAAACTCCACACTAGTATACCTATGAAAAGGAGATTCATCCTTACTGGATTTTTTTTTGTTTTCTTGAAGGTTCTTGCACAAGATTCCCTTCTGGGACCTTTCATTATGAGGAGGATGAGTTTAGACATTAGATGGCCTTTACCAAGTTGGCATCATGTCTGGAAACCACATCCGCCCGAGATGTTTAGACACCTCATAGTGAATTTGCTCCACATTATAGCTGTTGTCTGGGATCAGGACCTCCTCCATTATGGAAAGCTGGGTCAGCCGCCCGCCGCACATCTTCACGAACTCGATGAAGCCGCTACAGGTGACCTCACACTCCCCCAGCCCAATGGCCGTCAGGTTCTTGCAGCGGTCTGCAATCCGGATCAGCTCATCGTCCAGGGGCTCGAAGCCATTCGCACACACCACGAGCTCCACCAGCCTGGGGCAGTTCAGCCCGATGCGCCCCAGCATCTCCTTGCTGACGGCCCGGCCAAAATACAGGTGCGTGACAGGGGTCTCCTCGCGAAAGAAGGGGTCAAACTCCTCCTCGTAGAGGAAGAAGTACATGACGATGTTGACCTTGGGGGAGTGCTTCACCAAGGCATCCCAGCTCCTCTTCTTGATGGTATGGAACTGAGTCTGCCCAGGGTTCTCACTGACCACATCGATGCGAAGATGCTCCAGGTGCACGTGCTTCTCACTCGACAGAGCCAAGAGCAGTTCGTCACTCAGGAGGTGATAATTCAGCGCCAGCTCCCTTAGGCCATGGCACTGGTCTGCCACACAAAGAATACCTATACGAGAAAGGACCATGAAAAATTGAAATCTGTTTGAATACATGGCATTCGAATCACAATATGCCATTCAGGCATACAGAACATTTTTTGCAGTGCACTGTTCTAAGAAGTATGTACTTAAGCTGCCCCCTGTTTTCGTAGACTATTCTGATCATTTTAAAACAGCAAATTTCTCAATAGCTTGATTTGACATTCAGCACACATTTAATAAAGTCTAAAACCCGGCATCACTCAACCAGTAACAGCTTTAGTGGTGGTAAGTATCATTACAGCTTCTAGCCTGTTCTTTAACAAGCAAGACTTGTTGAGTGTCCCTTAAATACATGTAGTAACAGATAAAAACCAAATATTTTGTCATCTGACAAACATTCAAAAAGATAAAGGTTGACAAATACAAATTAAGAGCTTTAAACAACATGGAAACTGTTTTCAAAGATACTGTACATGGGTGGGGATTTATTAAACCATCTGTTGACATATTGCAGAAGAATGGCATAATGTTAGGCATTAACTTCATGTTGTACAGAAACATGTTTTTTTGCCAAACAAAGGGGAATTAATTACAGCTCATTAGGCTTCAGTTTTTATATGCAATGTTCTTTATAAGACTTAAGAAGTCTGAGGGCAGTAACCACAGAGCCCTATGTACCAAGTACATTTATAACCAAGTGATTCAAGCAACCATGAATTAAAAAATAGTTAATTCCACTCAACAGTTAATTAAGCATCTGCGCAAGTGGTGCATATACAACTCATGGCATATACAATTTTCAGTAATCACTGACATTTACAAACTAAACACCGCGTGCAGTATTACGCAGATAAATGGATTTATGAAAGCAGTGTTGGACAAAATGTAATTTTTTCCTTTAATGAACAGAAAATAGTGCCGGGCCCAGAATCAATTTTCATGTACTTGAATAATTCACTTCTTTCAAAGTCTCTGGCAACATACAGTATAGACAACCAGAAAATCAGGTCAACCTAGAGTGCAGTGAATGAGCTACATCTCTTAGCAACTCTTACTATAGAAGGGCACAAACGGATGTGCTGTACGCACATAGTGATTGTTCTCCTTACAGTCATTAAAACCATGAGCTCCATCTACCTTAGACAATTATTTTCTACCCTATAAAGACATAATGCTTGAATCTGCAATCATTCTTTTTCAACTGTTCTTCTCCAACTATTTTATTATATTTTATTATATTGACATCCAAAGAAGGCTCCACAGCTGAAACGTTGTGTTTCTTTTCTTCTCTTTTCACCATGGAATAAACCATTATTTTGCAGCCTACGCATGCTGATGCAGCTACCTACTTAACTATTTTATTATATTTCCACCTAACCTGCAATGTTCTTCTGTTTAGTTCTAAGAATAAACAGATGTCCAAAGAGAACTGCAGAAGACCTTGCTACATATTTATAACCAAAATAAATAAACAAAAAATAAATGTAATAAACAATAACTTTTATATTGCTGTTTTAAATCAGACTGGATTTACTGAATATGTGCATAACACCTAGAACACTGCTTCAATTTAAAATCACCTAAGTCTACATATGATAAATGTTTTTTTTAATATCATGCTAAATAAAATATACTATGAATGCTACAAATCAACTCAAAAGACAAGGTTCAACAGTGTGGCCAGCAGTACAGAAATCATTGCCTTAGCTCACCAGCAGGGGAGACATGGGGACAACTACTCATCTTCAGCAGTTTCAGCGTGTCGCTGTTATTCGCCACCAACACCTTCAAAGAAGGGTCATCCACAGGTGTGTCGTCAATTTTTATCGAAGACAGGGACTTTGAGTTCACAAACACCACCGTGAGGGCAGACACAAAGTGAGACTGTAGGGACACAAGAGATTAACAAATTTGCTTCTTATCATGGTTAACATTTAAAAAAATCAATGATTTTTTAACTTACATATGTGTTCCATGATTCTATAACCACTCAAACTGTCTAAAATTTCTCTTTGTATTCATTCTGTACTTAATCTATTACTTTGTAAAGAAATAAAACATCATATTTAAACTGCACAATACAAAAGTATATGCATGAGAGGTCAAAGGTGTATTTTCATGTTAGTGCTTAATGTTATAGAAATTAGGGAGTCTGTGCATTAAATGACAAGATAACAGCCATTCGAAATGCTGACAACATGCTTCATACAGAGTACTGACAAAAACAGTTAGCTTATTAATGCATTTTTGAGTATAGCTGTGCAATACTGGTAACAGCCAACGCATACCTGTGATACGTTCATGAAGCTCGGCCTTGCTGTAGAGATGAGCCCCAGAGTCTTGATAGTGCAGTTCACCAGTTGTGAGAGAATGTCACAGGCTGCCTCTGCAGACTCAGTACAGCTGTCAACCTTAAGCAAAATAAGTAAGTGGATTGTGGTACTGCAACGCTAACTTTAAAAGCAGCTTCACTTCACACAAATCACCAGTATTTTCAGTTTTACATCCACCCAGTTTAGAATCACCAGTGTTGAATAAGCACAGCATTACAGTGAAACCCTGAACCACATTGGAAAAGACAGACATGACCTTCAGATTTCCCTTTGTTTGGACACTTTCTCACTCACTGTGCCCATTCTCACATACCCTTTTTTTGTTCTCCACTGTTTCATATCCCAGCATCCTGTATCTCTCTCCCTCATACCTAAATGAAGGCTCAACAGCCAAAAAGTTGTTTTCCTTCCTACTTTGCAGCATGTTTTAATGATGTCACTGCCAATTCACAGGCACCCATGAATCCCAGTTGCTGTTGTATCAAAAACTGAACAGCCAAGTCGAATCATACTCGTCCAGTTCTGTACTGTCACTTGGGAAATCCCAGTCACAATCAGTTTGAAACAATCTAGGCTCAAATCTGCAATGCTGGCAACACATGACCCACGACCAATATTCTACATCAATGCATTTATGGGATGAACCGATGAGCAGCCCCTTGATTTTTAAAGATATATTATTTTTTATTAAAGTTAACATATAACATTCAGATACTACACTATTCATTCACATATCAATTGCCTGTCTTTCTAAAAACAAAACACACCAATAAGTCAATGATTTGCACTGATGAGCATCTTAGTTTAGAAAAGAAAGATGGCGCAGTTTTGAAAAAGAAGGCCTAATTGTGAAACAAGAAAAAAACAGATGTTGCGAGTTAAAATATTTCAAACACATGTTCCCAAAATAAAGCCTCCAATTCAAATCCCATGCTGTGCTTGGGGATGATGAGTCATTGCAACCTCCTCTACAGATTAGCCGGTTAGGTTGTCAGACGGATTAGAAAGTGCTGGCAGTAACGATGTGCAAAGCTGGATGAGGGGGTGGGGGTCAGGAGATCCTTTACCTTGAAGCTAACGTACTGCAGATGTTGAGCATGCTTCTTTATAATCTGCTGGATGAGGTCAGGGTGAGTAGATTTCAGATATGACGTGGCAGGCTGGTTGAGCTCGAACTCAAACCTCCTCCACAGGTCGGGGATGTGAAAGACTTCGTTCCACCTCCTGCAGACGGAGGAGGCCCGCGCCCGGTCCACAAGGGACAAGTGCTGGAAGACTTGTAGCACCACATGGTGAGGCAGGTTCCCCCAGTCCTGCACGGTGTCCTGTCTCCAGGACGCCCCGAGACGGAAGCCTGATGATCTGCCCTTGTGCTTTTTGCTTCCTTCTTCGGCAGATGAAGGGGCTTGACTCTCCGGGTTGATATTTATTCTTCCTCGTTTCATTCTGCACACAAACAGAAAGGAAGGGAAACAGAACCAGACTGCATCAAAACAAGCATTTCCACAAACACACATACATATCCTCATACACTTCTAAATAAGTCTGTTTCTAAACACGATCAACTGTTGCAGAATTCTTATTACTCCCCCATCCCCACCAACCTGCTTCGTCTTAGATGTAAAAAAGACCTCTTTCATTGTAGGCTCAAGTGAAACATAGTACGAAATTTCAGGCTGTGGTAAAACACATATCCAAAGGTTGCGCAAGAATTTTTTTTTACAAAATTAAAGAAACCCTACACATGAATAGCCTCTTTGCTTCAAGGGCAGTTTTTTTAAACAGCTTGTGGAGAAGTTAAGCCACAATCACCAGTTGTTAATTATCCTGAGCACAAGGATCAGACCAGTGATGACCTCAATGGAGTCCAATGTGCTAAGACTCCATAAGATACTTACCTGTTCTCTCATTCGTCACTCTCTGTGAACTGTGGCTACGCATGAGCTGGCCTGCCCCTCACACAGTGCCAAGACCTTAATGATTACAACATCAAGGTCCAGCAATCTGTGCATGTGTTCTTTTTTGTGCATTTTGTTATTACTTGCTAAACATGTGACAAATAAGAAGGTAGGGATCCGATACATATCACCCCCCAAAAAAATAAAAAAAAAACTTATTTTAGTCAAAATCTCTTTGGCTAAGGATCTGCACCTGTGGCGGGAAGGTTATCTGTTCGTATCCAGCGGCCGGCAGAGGAATCCTACTCTATTGGGTCCCTGAGCAAAGCCATTAACCCCAACTATTCCAGGGGTGCCATATAAATGGCTGACCCTGCACTCTGACCCCAAGCTTCTCTCCCTGTCTGTGTGAAAGCAAGTTGGGGTTTTGTGAAAAAGACAAATTCCTAATACAAGAAATTGTATATAGCTAATAAAGTGGTCTTATCTAAATATTAAACATTAATATATGCTTCACAAGGATGCAAAAATGTGTTAGCCAAATCCAATCACATGAAAAAACACAGCACAATTCCTTTATATTATTAAAAACGACACTTAGCACTTAGACACTGAAGCTTAGGAGGAAACTAAACACTGAACAGCAGCACCAATCCAGCCAGCAGACACTAAGGGAATTAACTACATCAGTCTAGAAACACCATGTGTCTATTAAAACTCCACACAAGCTGGTCAACCTCAGTAGAACCCAAGCCCTGTTTTGATAAAGATCCTGTGCACTGCAAATAATAAAAATGGGGCAGCTCATCTATGCTGGTGAAGTTATCACAAGCTTTATCTGCAGTGCATGCCATTTGTTAGAAATAGTTACAGTACATTCCATCCAGCACTGGGAAGATTTATGTGAAAAGTCTCCTTTGTTTTTATCCTGCAAATAAAGCTGAAAATCTGATCTTTATACACATGCATGAACTTTGAGGACCTCACATATTCAATATGTCTCAAAGATGCTCCATTATATAGTCTGTTTTGTGCATCTGTAAAGTAAATAAAATAAAATACTGCCTAAAAATAGGTGAATTGAGGAAGAGTACCATAAAACTGACCTCCAAGTCTCCAAGAAAACATCAATTGTGAAGTGTTTGTTCATATTCAATTTTTGCCATATGCAGAAATTAAGTATTTTAAGAAGAAAAAAACAAGCGTTACCTACATCTTTTTGTGCCTTTTCTAAAATCTTTTGCAACTTCTGCACTTTTTTAATATTCTTTCATATTTAATTATTTTAAAAATTGCATATTTATGTCCCAACATACTTTCTTTAAAATGGTTTGAGTGAGACAGCAAAAATTATGTACAGTATGTGAACCAGACCCATCTTTTATTGCCTGTGCAGCAAGAAATGTCCCCAAAGTCTTAATCTCCTGGTCTATCGAGGTAGACCAATCTACATATTTTGAAACTAACTTTGAAATTAAAACCACTAATAACTGGGGCCCACAACATTATAACGCACACAGGCAAAATACAACCGAAACAAAAATATAAAGATTAAAGTATCATTTTTAGGTGTTCTTAAGATCTCTGCTGTAGACATGTTGATTCTTATTTTAAACCGGTTATAGCAAAATTCCAAACAGTGGTGTTAAAGGGAATTGCTTAGAACAATTGTGCAGAAAAACAAGAAGAAAAACACACACACTGTAGCTGCTCGCACTGTATTTTTTCAAAGCAGTTCCTCACTGCATGCATTAATTGCATTAATGAACTCCTTTGAACCCATTAAGAAAAATAACATTACTAAAAGCAGTAAATCATTAAAAGAGTATTTTAATTGTCTTTTTAAAAATGTGTCCTACAATTCCTGCGATTAAGCTGATGGACTATAACTGGATAACGAGCTTGGTCAAGGCAGACCCTGGAAAGCCAGGACGTCCATTAATGTAATTCACCTTGCTAATTAGTAAAATTGGAAAAATTGGTCTAACCTACTGTATCATGTATTACAGGTGTTTACGGAACAATCCAATGCAATACTTTAATACTGCCATCACTTTACTTACACTGATGCTGATGATTATCAATTAAATAATAAAAATGCTGATTGGAGAATATCTTTACAATGGTATGGCCAAGATTGAGTAGTTAATGAGCCAAACGAATCCTGGAGGATTGTGGCCATCTGGACCACATTAACCCTCCCCTCTGTTTTGTTCCTGCCATCAGATATCAATGTCCCTAAAGGACAAGTGAGTATGTAAAGAATTACCTAAAGAATGGTTCTGATTTAAATCTCAAACTGGGATGGGCTGAGGTAGCAGCTGCCATGGGCATTCACTGATCTCCTTGCACATTTTCTTCCTACAGTGGCTCAACAGACAACAGGAGTCAAAACTGTGTATATACAGTACATATTCATGTGCGTATATTCTTAGTTCTCAAAAAACCTTCTTCCGCCACAATATATTGAAACTAAGCCATTAAAATTTAAACCCTGTCATATACTGTATCCTGTTATACCATGTTCCTTTTAAACAAAATTGTAATTTACACATCAGTGAAACTACAAGTTAGTATATCTTAAAAATAAAAATGATAATATAGTATTGAATACTTTATTCAAATGAATCTTCTGTATTTCACTTAAAATAAAAAACTTTACTGTACCATCTTCCACTACAGTGATAGGAGACTATACATAAAAAATCAAAAGACAAAGTTAGTTCTTAAATTATATTATAGTTTTATGGGATTACATTTTTATCTCTTGTAAATATAATTTCTGAAATCTAATGAGAATACTTTTTGGACAGACATCATTATCTTCTTTTCTCAGCCTAAAGAGGCCTGTTAAACACTATGGCATTTATTAGTTAGTAAGTCATGGGCTGATATAAGAGTCAAGACCGAAGATTTCTGCTAGAAAGTGGGTACCTGTAATGTGTGCAAATAACTAATTTCCTTCATTTAGTTATTCAGTTATGGAGTGAGATGCCTGCCAAAGAAGGAGGCGTTATGAATCAGCTTCCCAGATTCAACATTCAACATTCAAAAATGATGTTGGATGAAGCATTTCAATTAATTAAATATTATCAGTTCACTTAAACATTCAAATATGAAGCTGGATGAAGCATTGCAGGTTCAGTAACTCTGATTCATAATTGCAATGTGCATCCGATTATGTTTGACCATGATCTCACTCTATCTAAATTTAGTCTTTCTGCCACTTTAGTGCAAACAAATGTCTTTTTCCCCTCTAATAACATTTCACATAAGTATATGAATTTTAAATTCAAGCAGCATGCCTACAGGAACTTGCACCACAATCTGCATCATCCTAATTTTAGTTTACTCTTATCTCTGAAGACATTTTGTGATATTTAAGGAATGTTGAGACATCCAATGTTACCCTGGAAGTTACAGTTAAAAAGACAAATTGATCATTTCCAGATTCCAACAAGAAACATCAGCATAACTTGTGACTTGACTGTATCTCTTTAAAACTCCTGTAAGTTTAATATCCACAGTAAATCCACAGATCTGGCATGAAAAGAAACAAAATAAGCACAATCACTTCTTGTTATATCAAGAAGTAAGGAAAGAAGAATTTTTCACATTAGTGCTTTCTAAAGCAGGGCTTATCATACCAAATCCTCGGTACCAGGACTGCAGAATCCTTACCACCGTTCCCACACACTCCCCACTCCCAAAGAAAGAGAAGGCATAAAATGAAGGGTTATCAGACCCTGGCTGGTATGTGCCTGCACCTTTATACACAGATTTTTACATTTTTGAGAGGGAAGCACTGGCAACAAAAGAACAAAGGTCAACTAAATGCTGAAAAATATCAGTGTTCTTCAGGTGTGGCTCAACAGACAAAATGTTGTTTCTCCTTTATATTTTCAGCATTTAATTAACCTTTACATGTTTCTTCACATTTATACATGTGTTATAGATACTCATATATCTGTATACAGTAAATGTGTCCTCCACATGGATATTGGTCATCATTACCTCATTTTCCAGGAAGAAGGAGATTGTGCACCAAAGATTTGGAAGATCAGCTCCACTCAAACCCCCAGGGGCTTCAATTTTTCGTCCCATTGTAGTTCAATTAATTGGATGAATAACTGTATCATTTAGTACTTCTTCACCCAAAGTGCTATGGGAGTATGTTGCCAAACTAAGCCATGTGATCAAACCCAGTACTTCGGCTTCCTTCAAGAAATCTGTAGTCTGTATCAGATCCTTGGATCAATTAACTACTAACTACCAAACAGGCTTTCTTGTGTTCTTAATTGCTTGAGACTTTCACTGGACCTACATTGTTTTTAAATGCTTTCAGTGTTTTAAGAGCTGTAAACTCTATATTAAAAAAATGACCTGTGAAATTGTCAGTGGTGAATGTCACACGAGTCTAAAAATACTGAAATGGTGTGCTTAAAATATTATCACTTCATTAAACATTATAAAACATTAAGGGGGTGCTCAACTGAAATTAGCTCTAGCGGAGACTGGGGTCCTAGGCACCAGGAACTATTGTATTTAAAGTCGGGTAAAATGTTCATAAACACGTAATGAAAAAATATTTAAAGATGCATTGATATTTCTTTCTGAAGGCATGGTTTTCTCAAAGCAAGCCACGTCAGGAATTGTGCTCCAAATAGTTTGGTCTTTTCCATTTGATAAGTATCTTTTGGGTAACAATTTATTAAAGTTTCAAATCTATGGTATCAATGGTAAAACACTAAAAAGGTTCATACATAATAATAATCTAACATCGGATCTTACTGTTGCAACTTGCCTTATTGTGCATTCACTGTGAATGTGTTAGGATTTTCAAACACTGAAAGTGACTTTGAGAGATTAAGAATAATTTTTAAACTGAATACGCCTGTACACACCCTGTACACAACATGAAAATAACAGACTCGTCAGTCTTTCCATTAGAATTCTGAGCGCACAAAATGTTTCCTTACAAACCCTTCGCATATACAGAACAGTTAAATTATATTCTACATATAAAATTAGGATTAAAATCCTCAAACTAAAAATTAACTCACGATTACAAAAGAAAAGCACCTCAAAACAAAGCTTCGAAAAAGTAGCATCTCCTTCACCTTCATCTGCAACCCAATACAACTTGATGGGGTCCAATCAGAAAAACAAGTGTTAATGCACTATGAAGGTGCGCAATTGCATTTCCAGCGAAGTCCCTCAGATATACAGTACGAACACCTTTTCACACATGCATTACTGACTCAGCTAAGTGTGATTCTTCTCGCTTAATTAAATATAAAAAATATATTTATATATGTAAAACGAACGGTAAAACGTATTATAAAATAATCGATATCACGAATTAATCACACCCCTGTGACTCCATACAGCAAACGATACAATGTAAACAAAACAGTAAAACCGAGCTTTACAGTAAAACATATTTCAAAGGCAAAACGTGGAGAACACATGCTGTATGCAACCTGAAACTCATTTTCACATTTTGTGTTATGCGCTTTATTAGTCTACAATGATCATTCGCAAAAAAGATGACTTCGTCGCTTTCTTTTCTAATGTGGGTTAACATTCCAAAGGCGAGAAAGTGAAATATTTTATTGCATTTTTTTTTCAGGATCGTTCGAATTTCATTTATTTTCAACATTAACTTACTCGTTCTTATTGCCTCCTTCCACGACGGTAAAGCGCCTAGTTCTGCCTTAAACTTATTTTTTCATTTTTTTCTGCGCCATTCCCTTTTCGTTTAGAGAAGCCATTACTGCGGATTATTCTTGAACGCTCCTCCTGAATGTAGGCCAGTGTCCCATAAAAAGCCTCCCTCCTGGCAACTTGCCTGTTCAGCAGCTTGATACCCGCAAGCCAACAGCTTGATAACCAGAGCAAACTACCTCACTCTACACGTGAGAGCGGAGAAACATGGATTCCGCTTAGCTGTACTAGTCCTTACTGGTTTGCACATAATGAGCTTCAAATCTATACTGTACTTGCATGTATGTGTTTCTCCAAGCATTATGTACTCACAGTCAAATTAGTGTTGCAACTGCGATTGGAATTTCGCAAATTAAGCCACTAATAAGAATAAGAATAATATATATATATACAAATACACATTTCTGGGTTTATTAATGGGTGATGTTTTACCTCCCATGGGAATATTATTTTCTATTTTATCGTCTAACCAATAATAACAGTGGTAAAAACAGCCTTGTTTGGCAGGTGAAACAAAACATTAACGCTGCTACGAGAGCCCTGCGCGTCCCGTCTCGCCCTCCTGTTTTTGGAATCGCCGGATCCAACCTGCGTCTCATTTATCATTTTTATCATTTATATGGATCTTCCTCCCGCTTAGATCAGAGATGCGAGAGTTTTGGGGGAGGAGGACTAGGAAGGAGAAGCTCCCAGTGCTGCAGCTATAGGACTCAAATCCTTTAAGGGCGCAGAGCGGCTACAGCTTGTCTAAAGCCACTTCGAGGCCTTTGGATGGAAACTTGGAAAGGTTATGCAAATGAAGGGAGTGTGTGTTTGGGGTAGGGGGTGACGTACTGTTCATTGGCCTCTTTTTTAAATAAACTTACGATAATACAAACTGATTCACAAAAATGTATAATAAACATTAAATTACGATCTTTACAAATTTCAAGTTTCTAATTGCCAAGTAATATATAGAGTATATATAACATAAGTGACAAAGCTGAACGGCTACTAACACGATGATCTGCATAATAAAATACCTTCTCAGCACATACAGTATGCTGTTTTCGTTTCTGCAGCAATGGTATCAACAATCACGGCTAGTAAAAAGGTGATACAACTTCAACTTCTCAAAATTCCGGCAAAGTTGTCTATTCTGAAGTAGTAAAATTTACCACCGCGCGTAATACTTCCTTGCAGTCTAATGACCACTAATGCAGTGTTGCGCTTTTCAAGGATGTATGTGCATGTTCAGTTCTGTCATTTATGGCAATCATATATTCTATTCAAAAGACCTTTGCCACCAGACTATTATTAACCGTTTACTGCTGCACCTAGCTTCTGAGAACAAGGAGGTACTCCACTCACCTGTAAGGCGCTGAAGAGCTGTAACCCGCACAGTAATGAACAGACGCGGTGGCAGCAGCCATGTGAGGTTTTCTGCTTCCTTCCAGTTTTACGTCCACCTTTTAAATCGCTTAACTCGAGAAATAAAATAACACCTTTTAGATAGAAAGGAAATACTGTCTGTCCTGAAAAACTGGCCAACTGAACGCAATTGCGATCATCTCCGACGGTTAGTTTTTAATACAAAACGAACAGAGCAGCAATTAACAGAAGAAGTGTGGTTTGCTAGTTAAATTGCAACATTTATTAATACATAAAATGAAGATGTACTGCTCGGTTCCGCCAGCCAACCTACTGCGTTGTCCTATCTTCGTGAATGGGTGCGTTGTATGTGTGGTAATCACAACGTTTACAAAACAATCGTGAGTGACAAGTTAATCTACCATTCACCTATCCTGTCATTCAGTCTGGCTGTTTCTTATAGGACGGGAGGACGCAGGGTAACACATTTGAGGGTAAAGCCTTAGGCAGGCAAGCTGCAATATTGGATTTCCAACCTCGTTGCTATGGAGATAAATACTTTTCATCTCGAAGCTGTACATGAATTGTACATGTTTGCATGCAGTATAGGATCATAGCTAATAGAGCATAAAATTTACTTAAATACTACAAGTCTTTAAAGTTTAAATTAAAGGTTACATGAATAAAGGGAGTAAATTGTATGACTGTACATTTCATAATCCACTGCATAGAGGTGGCCAAGCAAGGTCAATATTCCTGTCAAAGTGAAAAGTACTTCAGTACATGTATATCCCCAACAAACTGCAGATCTAACAAGATTGTCACTGTGACTCATTAGCTTTCTAAAATCGATGGAGTAGGATTACACTGAGCTAAACATTTATAAAAAAAATATAGAGGATGCATAAAGGCACATGTTTTTTGTTGTTCATAAGCATATCGCTTAAATAATTTCAAAACTGACCCTTTTGAGAGTAATGCAACTGTAATGTGTCAGAAGATATGTCGGTATCAGTAAAAATATTTCAAAATCACCGTATCCAATTAAATGTAGTTAAAGATGCAAAACCCTTCCCAAAATTCCCGAATCGAATCTGTTTAAAAGCAAATTCAATTTAATGTTTTCAAGTAGCACAGTAACGAGTTTAGCAAACAAAAAAACGGTTGATGTTTTGTGTTAAATCGGGAGAGGAAACAACGTTACAAATGCAAGGATGTTTATGTTTCCGTTCTTGGGATCAAACAAAAAAAATGTATCGTTATTTTTAAAAGATATCAATAAAACAACTTGAAACTCGAAAGTTTTAAAGAAATCCGAAATAAAGACATGTATTTGTATCTTTATCATGTTTACTATTAATAATAATGTAGGATACCACAGTTAAAATGCTACGTGGATATTTTAACGTCCCTTAATCCTTTCATTGCAGTATTGCGAACACAACACAGGCGAGAACTGATTGAAAAATACTTTTTCCCGAGCTAAAAAATATGCCTCACGGAAGGCAAACAAAATATATTGCAAAGAACAATAACAACAGAAAGTAGGTCAGTGTGTCATTTAGCAGTAGGCTAAATCGGCACTGAGCCAGCGCAGCAGCTTGAAGGAAAGGCTGCTCAAACGCTTCACGTGATAACAGCCATGCACGTTTTCTCCGCTTGACAGTCAAGGACTCTCGGCGGCCTTTGCTGCAGTGCTTTAGTTTTCATTCTTTCCAGCTGCTTTCACGTGACACCAGCGGCATATTACTGCACTGACACGGGAAGCTGTTCTTAATAAACTATAATGTGAACTGGGATTTAAGTCTGCACAAATGCAGTCTCTGGAATATGACCTATTTCAGGTATCAGCCCTATTTCAATTTCCCCTATCACCTGTCCATCCTCATGTATTATTATTGATAATAATTTATTAATAAACTATATGAATAATACACTTATATATTATTCAAGATAACTTACATTTGTACCTTTTACTGTATACAGCTGGGTATTTTATTAAATTAATCTCAAGTGAGGTCAGGATCTAAATCCACAAACATCCAGTTCTGAGGGCAGAGCCCTAAGTCCAGACTGCTGCCTCTAACTTTGTAAAGATTTGTCTTATCTACCTACTTATCCACACACTTTCATTGTAAAATAATTGCATTTTTAGCATAAACTTCGATTGTTAAGTCTTGTACAGGTAGCAGCTGTGAAACCTTGCTTCTTGTACTCATCTCTACCTGGAGAAACTGTCAAAAAGGTACACAGATAATACACACTGCCATCCAATGGAACCTCAGAAATACTACCTCACAATAATTACATATGACACCCATTGCATTTTGTATTTCTTTTTTAAAAATCTGTAAATATTCTTTTTGGCCATTACATCCAATTAAAATGTCTTTGCATAGCAATGTAGGTGGCCCTCCCATCTTCGTGGAACAGGCTGAAGAGTGACTCGACCATGAAGAGGACCTGATGCTGCTGCTGACAAGTCCATCGCAGCCTCTGTCTGGCCCGAGAGTCGGGTGTGATGTCTAGGAGGTGTGAGCAGAGGGCCTCTGACAGGTCGCCCTGCTCTAAGGCCAGCAGCATGGAGTCTCACTGTCCTGTCACTGATGCAGGCATTGTGTCTGGCTGCAGTTTCAGCAGCAGTACAGGTGGCAGATCTGAAACGATCTCTCAGATCAGTCTGATGTGTCGGTCCTGCTCTGGTGTGGTCACTTGAGGGCAACCAGGTCTTGGAAGGTCATCTGTCCTGCTGGTCTGCTGAAACCTTCTCTGCACTAAGGAGCAGCTTACTCCATAGTGTCTGGCAACGCTGGCACATGACGTGACGTTTCTTTTTTTCATCAGTATATAATATTGTGGTACTTGATAAAAATGAATCATGATGTTAAAACCACAAAGAATTATCCATCACAACAAGACCGGAGGATGAAGGCAGGAGGACACTGGATGCAGGGGAGGGGAGGCATCCTTGCAACCAGGAGCAGTGGAGGGAAGCAGATCATCTAGGTGAAGCACAGATGAGGGCAGCAAGTCAGGCAATGGGAGATCCAGAGGGAGTGACAGAATGCCTGTGCACAGTGGTCCCAGCACGAGAACTGTAAGCACTGACAATCTAGCAACAGGACTTGCTGGATTGAAACCTGTTATATCCCAGGGAGGCAAACTGTTCTTGCCCTCAGATTTGGCTGGGCTTGGGCTGCAGTGTCTCCTCTTTCACCATTTATGCAGGCTTGGCTTCTAAGGACTGTAGCCTCTCCTCCTCCCCTTATCCAATGTGGGCAGGCCATCAGACAGATGTGAGGACCAAAACCCTTTCATATCTGGTGATCTTCCAGCATGTTTAGGCTAACAAACCAGAGACAGGATAATGGTGAAGGGCATTCATTCTTTTTTATAGAATTGAATTGTGGATCTTCTGGGGTAGAAAAAACAAATTCTTGAACACACATTAGTGGAATCCAACAGTGCCACTGAATTGTTTGCATTAACAGAGAAGGGGTATAGGCTCTTATTCTGAAAAGAAATGCTTTGTGTATAAAATGTTGCCCAATTTAAAATGCCACAACCAGCCAATGATTGTGATTTACTTCTCTAAATGCCATGTAACATGTAAACACAGTGGTCATCAAGAAATGTTACCTGGATGGGAGACCTCCTGGGAAAGCTAAGGTTGCTGCTGGAAGAGGTGTTAGTGGGGCCAGTAGGGGGCGCTCACCCTGCGGTCTGTGTGGGTCCTAATCCCCCAGTATAGTGATGGGGGCACTATACTGTAAAAAGGCGCCGTCCTTCGGATGAGATGTAAGACCGAGGTCCTAACTCTTTGTGGCCGTTAAAAAACCCAGGGTGTTTCTTGAAAGGAGTAGGGGTGTAACCCCGGCATCCTGACCAAATTTCCCATTGGCCCTTACCAATCATGGCCTCCTAATAATCCCCATTTATCAATTGGCTTCATTACTCTGCTCTCCTCCCCACTGAGAGCTAAATAAAAAATAAAGATGTTTATCAAATAGAGTAACAAGTCATTTGTATTTGTATCTATAGGCACACATCTATATGGGGAAGAACCCAAAGAAGGCTCCACAGCCAAAACGGTGTGTTTCCTTTCTTCTCTTTTCAGCATGGAATAAACCTTTACCTGTTTCTTTGCAGCCTACGCATGCTGACGCAGCTCCCCACTGGAACTACACATCTATATGTACACATTAATGGGGCCTGGAGCTTAACATTTTTTACTTAAATCTCTTGGAGTTTGTCCATTGACAAAAGAACACTCTTAATTTGTGCAAAATATAATTATATTGTAGTTTTAGTAATAAATAACAACTACTTGCATCTACTGTATGCAGCACTCTTTATCCAAAATGATCCCAAAGCACTTCACATGGAGGAGGGGCCCTTAGGGATACCCTGGGTGACCTTATGCCCCAGCAATCCCTCTACACAGAAAATCAGGTAAAGTAGTGAGATATTGCTTCACAGATTGAATTAAGGGGAAACTTCAGGAAGGCCAGAGTGAAATTTAGCCGGACACCGGGCTTGGGCTTAACATTGCTTTGAAAAATGTCATACGATCTTTAATGACCAAATAATAGGGATCTCAATTTAAAGTCTCCATACTGGGGCATTGGCGTTAGACATTTTTTCACCAGAGGAATGAGGGCACTTATTACCAACAACGCTTGCTTCAGCAACCTGAGGTCTCACATTCTAGTGTTGACCAGGTGAAGCCATAGTTAACTTTTGATTTCTGGCAAGGTCAGGGTGCAAGGTCGAATTAACCTTAAAATGTGTAACCTTGTTTAAGGTGTAACCTTAGAATTACTGTATATAATAATCCTTTTTACTACGGTTCCATTATTAGGCTGGATAATACTGTATATTACGGTGGCATTTTTCAGCCAGCAGGAGGAGCCGATAAAGGCTCCAGAGACCCAAAAGCAAGAGTCGACTTCTTGTTAATCATTCTTTATTGAATAAACATTGTGTAAGAGAAGACAAATAAAAATGTTAGTTTCTAGTTTAGTTATCCCAAATACAAAAATACAAGAACATATACGTTAGTTTTATGAAAAGAAATATAGGGCTAAAAGAAAAGAGTAATCGTTAGACTCGGTTCATAACCTGAAATGTAGCAGATGTTTTTGTCTTCTGCTGTTCTCTACTTCACAATAGTACTTCTATACTTAGATGCTGAATATCATTACTATACTACTAATGATGTATAAAAGTTTGAATTTCTTAATGACAATTTTCAGAAAAAAATAGTATTTCGGGCGCATGATGACAAAAATTAAAAAAAACCAAGCAAAACAGAGGTTCAACTGACGAATTACAAGCGTTGACATAGTCACGTAAGCGGTATTTCCAAATAAAACATAGAAAAGAATAATCAGTCACGGTGCTTTGTACTTTTGAAAGAGAACGGCTGATGCAAAACGTCCCCTTTAAGGACTGCAGGGTTTGTCAGCAGAGCCATGCTGTAATATAATTGCAGTCGGTGAGCTGGGATAGGCTGGGAGTTTGGGCTGAAGGCAGGCCGATGTGAAGGCAGCGAGACCTTGCAAGAAAGAGTGAAAAACGAAGGAACCGAGTATATGTGTACTGTGTTACATGACTGCATTAAAAATAAAGCTTAGATTAAGACGTTCCTAAGCCTCCTGACGAGGATCAGACTCACGCACATGATAAAGTTTGGATGTTGATATTCGGGAAATCGGGTGTGATCTTTGCAAAATCCGGACTGCTGTTGTCTTGAGTGAACTTCTGACGGATTACACCATCATGCCCAGACGGACCATAGAAGAAGTAACTGTGCAGGATGTGCAGAAGAGGAGAAACCCCAATAAGCATTATGTACGTAAGAGAAACTGTCTTGTTTAACGCATTAGGTAACTTTTTCTTCTCCTGGTGTTTTATTTTTGTATTTATTGTACATTGGAATCAGCTGTACAAAATTGCATTACACCCTTTAAATCCGCAAACATATACGAAGGATTTTAGCTGGTTAGCTGTATGGGCAGCGATTCAAGTTATGTGAACTCTTTCCATACAAATGTGAATGCGAATATGATGAGATTAAGATAAGCAAAATCGAGCTATTTAGTCTGTGTAATTTAAGTAACCCTTTTTCGTTTGCGTTTGACAACGAGGTGTTGAACCTCGAAAAATGTGATCACGCGATATAGTTTTTCAAACGGTAACGGATTAAGTCGCTATTTGTGATAAAATGCTTAGTGCTTAAAATGTAAAAATAAGTACTTTACTTACTATTTGTTTATCCGAGATATTTATCTGATCCATCACAACACTGGGAAGCCTCGCCTGTGTTAACTGGAGCATGCAAAAATCATGGAGTTTTATAAGGAAAAAAGTTTCTCGACCCACATGTACCGATTTGTAGACTTCCTTTTGTGCGGATGTAAACTCAACAAATTAGAATTAAGTATGCATTAATGTAATATTTTCTTGAAGAGAATTTGGGTATAGTATTTTAATGGGGGAAATGTTAAAATAGTACTACCAGTTCGCCTAAAATACTCTAGGTTGTATATACTTAAGATAGCTGTCTGCTTTCTTGTTGGTTCGCCTGGTATGTTATTCCAGTCTGACTTGTACCAACGTTGGAGAATCTGCACTTTTGATAACTGTGCTTTGGGAAAACGTTGTTAGAAAGAAGGATTAAAGAAGTCGTGAACAAAAACTTGATATAATGCCAGTTCTGAATTTAAAACTATGTCGAGACTGTTGCTCTGCGGTTTTGGTTTATTGGTGTATTTTGAACAATCGATAACCCGAAAATTGAAGAGGGAGACTGTATTCGGTTAAGTTATCGGATGTTTTAATCAGCTCGCAACCATGAGGAAAAGGCTCAAAAAGTCTTGATAATTTTAAGTGCGATTGTGTTCTTAGCTAACGAGCTGTATTGACAAAAGCTGTCGTTAGTACTTGATATGGAGACCTTTACATCGTTTTGCGAAAACGGAATTCGACTTTTAAAATTAAAGTGCATATTACAATATAAATTTCATTCTTGTTGTAAAAATCTTTGGTATTATAACACAATACCCGAACCCCTCCCATAGAGTCAAATCATATGTTAATGCTGAAGACCTCCTCCGCCCCACTCCCTCACAAACCTCCCAGAATAATGAAAACCATTACTCCATTGAATAAACCCATGCTGTAATTGGTTAACTGTTTCTTTTGTCTCTTGGGAGGTATGTGATGTATTTTTTTCCTTTCGAACATAGTGTGCGATGGAAAGTCAAGTAACGTGTCGCTGAAAGAGCAGGGTTATACCAGGACACACCCAGTTTACATTCATCCACACTGGAAATGCAGATATTATCACCTTCCTTGTTATTGCCTCTTGGCTATTAAGAAGCATCATGCCAGCTGCCTGTGGTGGAGGGCTGGGATTCTTAAATGTCAACGCATGGGCTTCTATACATGAGAAAGGATACTGACATTTGTATGAAGAGAATGCTGTAGAAGGCTGTTTAGTCCCATCAGACGGCCTGTTAGAAAAATGACCATTGTCTTTCTCTTTAAACAGCTCTTATCTAAAGTGAGCTGTTTCTGGTTCAGTGTTTCCTCACCAGCGGGAACGTTTTTTTTCTTGACAGTTTGTTTTCACAGTAACCCTTCTTATAGGTCCAGTGTCAGACAGGTCATTCTGCTCTTTTCTGTTGTACCTCTTTTTTTCTGCTCTCTTCAATCATATTCTTTTGTTTTTTTCCCTCCCCTCTGGACTGTTAGTAGCATGTAACACTCTTAGGACTGAATAAACATCCAGTAATCATAGCTGGTGATTTGGAGGTGGTTTTGCAAAACTAAACCTAATTTCCATAAATTGAAACCATTCAGCTTCTCACACGCAATTATTTTCCTGTCACAAGAAAGTTATCCCATCAAATTAGAATTTCCTTGCCTGTTTAAATGTTGCTAATTCATATTAATCAAATTGCAAAATAGGCAGGAAGGTGTCTGAATATACATTTTGTTAAGAGCTACTTGGCTAAATCTGTCAGCAGAGTACTTCAAATATAATTTTATTAAAGTAAAGTTTACCTTATGACAAAATACCAGAACTTTATGTAGTGACTTTAAAATGTGCTATATTGCAAAGAACCCAGTGGTTTCCAAACAGAGGACAGAGAGGTTTTGTCATATATCTTAACTATCAGGATTTAAGTGCTTTAAATAGGTTAGCTGGAGATCCTAACTCACAATAGGATTTTATGCTACGATTCTAAAACAACTTAAATCAAGATCAGGTTTAATTTTATAATGGAGCAATTTGGTGCAAGAGCCTTGTTTAGTTTTATGTTGCTTTTATGCTTAGCTCTTTTAGAGGTTTTACAGTGTTCATTAAAATACATTATAATATTCTTGGTCCAAGTTTTATCATTACTCTCTGGATGGAAAAGGTTGTCCCATGTGGCATTTTTCAAGTGGCACACAGACAAGCAGTCAATTTTATTTCTGCAGCACTTTATTGTTGCAAAACAGTAAATAGTGTGCCTTAATTATGGCTATTATGAGTGTGTTTTCAGAGAGAGCTGTTATTTAAGCATTTCTCATGGAGCCCAGGCTTTGGCTGCCTTAGGGCAATCACTGTCTTGTAATGTGAGCTCTTCAGCGGGAGAGAGATTTGAATTCTGTACTGTCAAAAAAGTGAGATAGAGGCTACAAGATTTGGATGTACTGTAGATCTGAGTTTATATATAATAATGCAATTGTACAAGTGCCTTTTCAACAAAAAAGGCACATTAGGCTGACTTTGTGAAACCAAGGGTAAAGACAGGCCTTTAAGAGCATTTTTAAAATGTCAGCATTTGCAGAGTCTTTAATACATTTTGCCAATGAGTTCCACAGACATGATGCTGCACACAAGAGGGCTCTATTGCCCACTCTGTGGAGCCTGCTCTTTACAATGTAAGAAGGCCTGAATCAACAGATCTTTGATTAAGGTCTGGAATATACTCATGGAAACGCCTTAAAACTATCTGTAGTTAGACCATTCAGTGTCTTATACTTGAGCAAGAGAACCTTTGAAGTCCTCTCTAAATTTTATTGGGAGTCAGCATAATTTTCAGACTTCGGGAGTTATGTGCCAATGCAGAGTACTTTTAGTTAGCACATGTGTCACAGAAATGTGACCCATGTGCTAACTAAATATATGTTCTACATATTCACTGTTCTAGAAGATAGCCCTGTAAGTAAAGCTCTACAGGAGACTAATCATGATTAAATAAAAACATGGATTACTTCAACATCAGACAGACAGAGTAAGAGTCTGAACCAAGCAGTGCTCTTCAGATAGATGAAAGATCACCCTGTAATGTTCCCAACATGTGCTACAATTGATAGTTAACAGCAAAGTTTGCAACATCCGTCAAATGTATAATTTCAGTTTTGTCAACAAAAACACTGAAGTCACCAGCTTTATGAAGCTGATGTTGGGAGTCTATGAGCATAATCGTTATCTTGTCACAGTTTATTTGAAGAAAGTTCTGATACTGTATATACATAGTTTAATGTGACACAGACACTAGTCAACTGCACAGTCTGCAGCAGTAATATGTGATTTTATCTGCAGATAAATCTGAGTGTTCTCAGTATAGCAGTGAAGTCTGTGATTGTGAGTGAGCTGACTAGAAGGCAATGTGTAAATACTAAAAAGTAAAGCTCTCAGCCCAAAACCCTGTGGGACATCATCAGATTTTAAAAAAAGGCCCCTTTTAGTCAAATAGAAGCCAAACCAACAAAGAGCAGAACCAGTTATCTTTAGAAACATTTCTGTTAGAGTCCAGTAGGATGCTGTGACTGACATTATCAAAAGCTGCATTTAAATAGAGAAAGAGAAGAACATTAAATGTCCCGGAGCCAAAAGTCATCACAAAATCCTTAAATACCTTAAGAAAGTCCCAGTGTTGTGTCTTTGTCTAAATCCTAGACAAAATTTTCAAAGAGCTCATCGGATGTAATATGAGATTGTAATAAAGTACTGTAGCTAGCATCCATTCTAAGATTTTTGGTTATTAAATTACTGGTCAACCTTGAATGCCACTGGTGGCTATTCTGACTGGGACAGAAGGAATGACATTCTGACATGAAGTGCTTCCCTTTTCTGCCTTTTTAAAGTTTTTGTTCTGGTTTAATTTCCCAAAAAGGAATACAAATGTTTTAAAGCACAGTATTCTGTGTTTCTCTGCATGAAACACAGAGAACTGATAACAGAAAAAAATGTTATGTAGAGTATGTTATGGATAAACTACTTTATCTAAACTTCTTTGTTTAAAAAAAAGAAATTGGATTAAGTCATGGATCTCCTTCTTCTTGCAAACAAAATATAGAAAAGGATATACAGTACATGTATGCTTCTAAATTGCTAAATGTAAACTCTCAGAATTCTTCAGTGAATAATGTTATAACCTAGACAATAATACATAGTTTGGAAGAGAGCAATCTGTGTACATTCATCTGCTGCTGTCAGAGTTTTAATATGCGTTTCTGCAATTTCTTCATTGGTCCCTTGACTTCACTTAAGTGAATCTGTGACTTATAGCCAGTAGTGGGGCTTACGCCCAACGTTTTTGTCTGCTTACTGAGCATATCAACAACCCAGAAAGAAACTGCACTGCACACAACTTTTTCCAGCTGTCAGCCAGTTTCGTTTAGCTCTGGGAATGTTACCATTCATCAGCTGTTGACGTCAGGGAGGAGCTCTTGTAGTGTAGTTTTCTTCTAGCACTATTTTCCTTCCCGTTGAGTATCTCATGCTAGGGATAGCCTCTAATTTAGGACAGTACAGTACAGAGGACTCAGGGATGAGCTGTAATAGTCTCCCT